GTGAGCATATTCTATTAGGTTTTTGGGTAGTTTTGTCGAGTTTGAAGTTGGGCGTGGCTGGAGATCCTTAAAGAGTGTCAACTTGTGAAAAGACTTTATAATGCGTTCTTGTATTGACTCAATTCGCAATCCTCTGTGAAGTGGTTTGTTGGTAATACACCAGGGAGCATTAGTGTTTTCTTAAACATTTATTTTGAATGATTTGTAGTTTTTCGATGTGTTTTTGCTGCATTACACCAAATTGGGCTAGCATACGTGGTTGTGGTCGTAATATCGATTTATAAATTGTAGTTCCACATTCAATGCTTACAGTTGATTTAGTTTAGATGAGGATACAGTTTAGCAATTTTGACGTACGTTTTGTATGCAACTGTTTCGATGTGGTCTTTAAAAGTTAATTTTGCATCAGACATTTGTCCTAAATATTAAACTGCCGTTAGTTTGGGAAGCCATTTTATTATTGAATTTTGAGGTGGGGAGGGTTCGGTGGTCTTCGAAATGTGAAGATTTTTGCTTGAGATTTGTGCGAGAATATTTTGATTCTCCACTGTTCAGACCAGGCGATTTGTCAAGTCGTTCTGAAGGTCGTCGTAAGCACAGAGTATATCCTCGTGAGCTGTCAATAAAGCGGTATCGTCAGCAAAGAGGGAGATTTCCGAGTGAGCTGCTTTTGGGATATCCGATAAGTACATGCTGAAAAGTAAAGGTGATAGGCATGATCCGTGAGGGACACCAGTTGGAGGTTGACATTGATTAGAATAAGTAAAATTGATTCTTGCCAGGAAATGGCGATCTGCTACAAAGCTGTCAATAATTTTATAGAGGTAGTTTGGTAAATCCAGACGTAGTTCAAAAAGTAACCCTGGGTGCCACATTTTGTCAAATGCCTTTTCAATGTCTAGAAATATTGTCAAGGTGTGTTTGTGTTGATGGAAAACATTAGCCATGGATTCTGAAAGTCTCAAAGAGTTGGTGCGTTGTTGAGTATTTTTCTAAATCCCAATTGAGTATTAGGTATAGCCTTTATTTCTGTAACATATTTATTTATACGTGTATATATGTTTGCTTCTCCAATAATTTGCCAAGCGTTGGAAGTAAACTTATCGGTCTGTAATTGGATGGATTTTGGGGGTCTTTCCCTAGTTTGTTGAACGGGAGGATAATAGCAGTTTTCCAATATTTAGGAAAATGGCCTAATCTTAATGCCAAATTGAAAATGGTTGTTAAAGCCCCGATTGCCTTTGCCGTCAGTGCTTTGAGGACTTTATTGCTAATATTATCATATCCTTATGCCTTTCTCGATTTTAATTGTTTTTCTAACGTCAGAAGGTGAGATAAATTTGTTTTTTCCTGGGACAGTTGCAACTGGTTTCGCTGATTAAAGTTAAATGTAAATGTTGAACTAGTTGTTGCTAATTGGATTGGGAGTGAAGGTTTTCTGAAAATGTTCGGCCAATAAATTAGCCTTGTTTTTGTCTGAGAACGCGATTTCTGTATCCCTTTTTAAAATTGGGATTTCTGCTTTTTCTTTGGTGGTTCGTCTGATCGTAGTCCACATTGGTCTGCTATTTGAGTGAATTCGTTTTATTATATTCTGATATTCAGAATAACGAAATTGTTCTAGTCTGTATTTAAATATTTTGGAAAATTTATTCAATTTTACTTTATGGTCTATTCTCCTGGTTGTTTCCCAGTATTGTCTAAGGTTTTGTTTAGTTTTGATTAGATTTACTATTTTCAATGAAACTGGTTTTCTTGTTTTAATGCTTGCGGATTATTGTGTTGTTGACTGTTCAATTGTTTTCTGTATCGATTGTGTTACCTGCAGCACTTGCATATCAAATTCCTCGTTGGTGTGAATTTTACTAGGGTATATTATATTGTTGTTTATTAGCTCCTTAAACTTATACCAATTAATTCGTCCCAAGGTTTCGTTACGTCGTAATGCTTGAACTAACGGCGAATTGGAGAAACTTTTTGATAATTACTGGGGAGTGCACAATCTCGTTCAGGCAATATTGTTTGAATCAATAGCAAATTGAAATTTTTGGTCAATACTATATCTAGTATATCTGGAATCACATTACTGGTATATGAATAGTGTTGGAAATTGGGGGGCCAGAATATGAATATCCTTGGATACTGCGTAGCTAAATAATGTTGTGCCGTGGTTGGAAGTGGTATTGCATCCCCATATTTGATTTTTACTGTTTATTCGCCAGCTAATAGAATACTATTGGTATTGTTTTTAAAAATTTCGTTATAAGCTTTTAATGGAAATTTTTTAATTGGTGGTTTATATGCCGCAACTATTTTGTAATTATTGCTACCTATATTTGTTGTTATTGCTATTGTCTAGTTCTGGGGTGTCTGAACTGTGAATCGCTTGATGCTTAAAGTTGATAGATACTAACATGGCTACACCCCTTGAAGCTACTTTTGAGGTTCTATCGTTTCTATATACTTTGTAACCTGGAATTTATATTTTTCATTTAGTACTAAGTGTTTCTGTAACACACGCAATAAGTATTTTGTGGTGATGCAAAAATTGTTAAATTATTATCTGCTGTCTTTTAATACCATTAGCATTCCAATTTAATGTTTTTATTTCTTGTACTTTATTTGCCATTTTGAAGAACTGGCATTAATGACTGTACTAGGTTTTTGATTCGGGGTATTATAGCTGAGAATATTTGATTTACTATTGTGTTTTCGAGTGATAATGTGTGAGTCGGATGTATAATCGCATAGGACGTCTATCATTCGCGATCGTTCACCACAACCCTTCAACCATAACATATATAGCACACCACAACTTCGGAAATAAATTTATGTTCTAGCACGTGCAGATCACTTTAAGAACAAATAATGCATTGCATAAATTCTCAACAGACAAAGACTGGTTTTCTGGACAGCGTGTGTTTTATGGTCGATAGAACGTTTTGCTTCATATTTGTGTTCGCCTTTTTACATATTCTTTAGGCTTGACTATCATTTGATCAAGAAATTACGTTTTGTTAAAAATACAGTTTATCATGGGCTTTCAAGGAGAGAGCAAGTAATATCTTTTCCCCTATTAATTAATAATTATTTCAGGATGAATTTTTTGATTCCACTCTCGAAATTATGAACAAAGAATTTTTATGCGATGGAATATGAAAAAAATATATATAATATATTTAAATAACAAAGAAAGTAAAAGGATAAGTGTTCTTAATCCTCTTTCCGTTTCAAAAATTGCGATGTTATTGGAATTTCGTCAATAATTTTGGAACGCAGTAGGTTCCGGTACGCGTCGAGATCGTGCCGGCCTGTGGTGGATGATCTTTCTCTGCGTTCTTGCTAAGGGTAGAGGTGGCAGCGAGTGGCAGGAACGGGCACGATCGTGTTCGCAGCTCATTGTGATCCGTTGTGTGTATCTGTTGTACTGTGGTTAAGATGAAATTTGTAATTGGGCGATTGTGCAGTTGATATTCTAGTAAAATCGAGTCAATAACTGTCACATTGTGAATTATCGAGCTGAAGGATTAGAATCCACCATGATGTTCACCAAACAGATTTTGGCTATATCGATATTTTGCCTTGCTGGCCTTCATATTGGATCCATTTATGCAGGAAACGATACCCATCCTGTTGGTGAGTAACATCTTATCCATGTCGAGCATATTACTGTCCTTTAAGTGCCCGTATTGGCTTTCATCTGAAATGACTAATTGTTGGTGTTATGTTGTAAATTTGCGAACTCTCAATGGTCAATGAACAGATTTGCAGGTAATTCTATACGTTACTAATTAGTATTACTGCACTGAAAATATTGTTTGTGTGTCTGAGTTTATTAACTTCCTTTGGGATTAAGTTTATAATTAGGACATTGCTTTGAAAAGAATATCCTGTGCAAGCGCAAAGTTGCGCCGCATAAATCATACGGTAACACGAATATCTGTATTGCGTTTTTTTTTTCGCGAATTAGGAATAATAGATTCCAAAATTTTGATAGTGATGATGAAAATAATAAATTTTGCTGGTTTTTTACAGAGAAATTAAAAAGAGTAACTGTTGGGCCTGGGCCACTACTACAAACAACACCAGTTCCCGTAACTACACCAGCGCCTACAAATGCTACCTCTAAAACCCCGGAAACAACTACATCAATAACTACCAGTACTTCTACTGCCATTTTTTCTGCTCCTAGTTCTACAGCTGCTACTACTACTACTACTACTAGGAAGCCCACTACAAAACCTGATACAACTACTCCACCTCCTACAACCACCACGAACATACCTATCACTGCCACTCCTCAAACTGCTACTACACCCTCCAATACTTCCAAAACCTCAACATCCACCACTTCTCCTCCTGTAACTTCAAGTACTGAACCTTCATCAACTACCAAAGGACCGGTTTCAACTGTGACTCCAGTCCCTAATCCTACAGCACCCACAAATACTACCTCTAAAACACCAGAAACAACTACCAGTACTACTACTCAGAAGCCCACTACAAAACCTGACACAACTACTCCACCTCCTACAACCACCACAAACATACCTACCACTACCATTCCCTCCAATACTCCCAAAACCACATTTACCACTTCTTCTCCTGTAACTACAAGTACTGAACCTTCATCAACTACCAAAGGACCTGTTTCAACTGTGAGTCCTGTCCCTAATCCTACAGCTGAGCCGTCCAAAGTTCGGCGATTTGATGGACTTAGCTTTCTTGGTGAGTAGCGTTATTGTTAATAAGAAGTTAAAATAGATTGAGTTTTGTTTTCAGTATCAAATTGAAGGAAATGTTGCATAAAAATTAATGTTGTACAATAAAATTCAATTTAACTTCGATGATTTGGATTTGTGTTGAGTGGAGAAGACCAGGTCATCAATGTTTACTATAGAATGCAGTTTGCGCCTTTAAGTTTAGTTTGAAATGTAACTTATTATTTATTTGAATTTCAGTACTCTACATTTTATTGCTAGATATCTACACTACAAAACTTGGCTGTTTTGTTTTGCTGTCTGTATAAGTTTATTCCAGAATGGACCTGCAGAATTGTTCTTTAAATTGCTTAATTTTGTAATGTTGTATTTGTAAACCAATAATTTAATTATTGTAGTTTGTATCATACTGAACAATACCTAGTATCACGAGCAAAAATTCATAGTTGTCCTAATTGGTAATCCTATTTCATTTCTTCATACAACTGAACACAAATTATCCAAACTAATTGAGATCTAGTATAGTTTAAATACTTGATTAATCAGATAACCGTACATAAAAATGGCAAGGAACCTAAAATGCTGTATGTAAAAGATTTTTTGTAAGAGAATGTACCATTAAAATACTGCACTACTCATACAAAATGACGTAGATATTAAACGGGCGTACTACAGCATAAAGTACCTTATCGGCTGAAAAAAAAAAAATCAGAGGAGGTACGAGGTCAGATAATCTGTCATTTATATTGTGGTTTAGAATAATGTTTGTGCTTTGCGAAATGATAAAAAAGTAGTTGCTTCCATTTAATGTTGTGGCTCCTTTATTCCACCTTGGTGAAGCAGAATCTTGTTAGAAGAATCTGGATATCAATACATTTCTTCAATGTCGGAATGGGTTTGGAAAATGATCTGTAATGTAGTGAAGTGTATAGCTGTTAAAAACTGAGATTCATTGCAAAATCAGATGGTCTTTTCATTAGCTTCAAATTCAACTTTTTTTTTAATAACTAGAAATTGTTTTATTTTAGGTGGTATTGTGCTGTCTGTGGGAATTATGGCTATTGCCTTTGTGTTATGGAAGTTCTACAAGGCTCGCTCAGAGAGAAATTACACCACCTTGTAAATTCACCTTCAGTGAACAGAAGAGAACACAAACTGAAAGGTATAAAACGTAACTTAGTGTTGAAATCAAAATGTTTGGTTAGCACAGTTGGCACAATCTGCTTATGGGATGAAAAGGAATGCCTTAAGAAAAAAAATATTTCATAAATTATTCATTGTTTGTGAAGTTATTGTTTTTATTTTGTGATGTTAGAAAATAAACTTGTACATATTTTGCTGATTCACTCTGCAAATCGGGGTAGTGTATGTTCATCTGTTACTGATCTGTCCAGTAATGGAAGGATGTTACCAAATTGATTTGCCTGAACTGTTTAATGGAATCTAAATGGGAAAGAAGAGGGATGGAAAATGTTTCAGGGGAACTGAAATGGGAAGTTTCAAATTTCTCGTTTACCTCCTTTCATTAGCATTGAGAAAGTGTATTCTTATTATTGTCAATTTAGAGTTGAAGGTTAGTCAATTCCAAATATGCTGTGATGAGAATCTAAGTAGAAGTGTAATATGTATAAATTAAACATAAGGCAGGCCATAGGTTTCATAATAATTGTGAACCTTTAGCAATATCATAAATCAAGGTAATATAAATGTTTTTCTGAAGGAAACTTGATGTATGTGCTGCAACTTGAACTGGAGCTAATGAATAACATTCGGAAATTACTTTTTGCAAATTATAAATTTTATTTCTGTGTTTGTTTCACATAGATTATAGGATTAAAATTCTTATTAGTAAACTATTTTAATCTAAAAACCATTGGCTCATGTTTGTGGAGTTCTCTTTTTTTTTCTATTCCATAGATAGTTTCCAGTTTGTAGATTTTAAATTTTTTTTTGTTTTAAAAAAATTTGAAAAGCTAGATAAAACGATAAAATTTCATTTGAGTATGAAAGCTTAATTGATTAAAAAGTACACTAGATATCAAAAACTACGATGACAATTTTTTTTCTGTGATGGCAGAACAGACTTTTGGGAAGTGGTAGTGGGCTATATAACGAATGGTGCTTTGAAGTGTAAATAATCTAACAAAGTGTGCAAAGTAACTTTATTTAAATGCCATTGTGAATCTCTTACATTCTGAAGAAAATCCCATGTTCACATAGTATATTACACTGTTTGTTCATTGCTTTACATAATCGTGCACCAACTGTGGTAAGAATAGTTTTAAATTTAACATAACACTATTTCTTTAGAAAGCAAAAGTTTTACATGTAAGAAAGTTTGAATCAAAATCAAAATTCAGATTTTTTCTCTGTGGTGCAATTTTTTAAAGTTAGGTCCATGAAGTGACATCACGATTTAATCTAATTATCCTTAGTTTGTAAACCCCCAAAATTCACTTAAATTCTTTGCACAGTGCAATCTTAGGGCTTTTAATGAAGGTTGTGTAGTTAAAACAGCAAGAAAGATGATGTTTGTGGAAAAAAGTGCTCTTAGCATGTTGCATGAGTGAGTGTTGGTGTGGCAAATGAGATGGAGTATTTGTGTCAGACACTGTTGCCTAGCTGGTCTATTTTAATAAAAATGTTTGTAGTATCAGGACATGGGGTTATTGTAAACTAATTATATTATGATTATTATAATTGAGGATTAGTATTTTCTATATCTACACTGTACCCACATAATGTTAATATTGTCATGTCTATGCATACTGCAATACACCAATACATATTGCTGTTATTCTGTATTACATGTTGGGCAGAAATAATTGTGATGTTTGTATGGATAGGACTAGTGAACAATTTGTATGTTTTGTTATTTTTGAAGTGTGAAGAGGCATTTATTTTTATTAACATTCGGTTATTTTGTATTGATTCTTTTCTTTCTCTACTTGGCTTAAAACATTCAGTTTATATTAGGTCTTTCAGTGATATAATTGCAAGAAATTACAAAGGCACTAAGAAAATGAATTTAGTGCTATTTAGTTCTCGAGTTACAATGAACATAAACAGTAATGGTTCTTCTGTTTAATGCAGTATCAGGCGAGGTTGTGGAGAGATTTGCATTTGTTTTGTGTGCGTTTGAGAAGTTTAAATGTTCTTATGCTGAAGGAATGCATTTTTTCAATCTTCACAAACCTGAATCTGTGTTAAACATTTTCAATGAGTATAAAATAAAAATAATATAAAGCTAAGCTGAAGCATATTTCGTGACTGGCGTTCATAAGCTTTTTGCTCATTTGCTTTTTTTGTGTTGGTTAATGAATCTCTTTCATTGTGATGGATTTGTTGCATTGCAATCAAGGTTAATTCATAGTTGTCACTTTGTCAACAAGAAAAGATGAATCTGTACTTGAAATTCCCAGTCATTAAATATGATGCTGTTATTATTAATATTGAGAATCCATCCATTATAGGGAATAGTTTCAAAACATTCATTGGAATTACTTTTTGCAAGTAATGTATGTAATGTTGTGACAAGTTAATTACATATATTTTCATTATATAACCTACTCTGAAGTGCTATACATAAAATCAGTGTAACAAGAATTTGCCAATAAATGTTTTTCTCTTGTATTTTACTTACTTTCTTAAAAACCCACCTGATTACTTAAGAGGCACACACTATTCTTAGAATTGAAGGGGCTAGTGTTGCATAATTGCTAATGCCACAGCTTCCATGCTTCCTTCACTTCTACTAATAGGGACTGGCTTTGATCCTGACCAATTTCAAATAGAATTTGTTGTGAACTAAGCAAGTTCTTAGCAGGTTTTCTCACTGTTCAGTCTCCTTTGCTTCTCATCCCACCATGTCTCCATAATTCACTTTATCACTGGAAACTGTATCACATGGAAAAACACTGTCATTGTAAAATAATGTACCATGCAATGTCAAATTCTGTTCATTAATATGGTATGTCAACAGTGAGAATATATCAAAAATAAGTAGTAGGTTATGTGTATATTAAAATTTACACAATACGAAATTTCATTTATAAAATGTCCTTAAGGTTTTTTAAATTAATAACGAACGTTTTAAAAATCATTTCGGCAGCATGTGTTGATGCACACACAACTGTCTGGTCTGTAGTAGTAGAAGCTTCTATTGCTACCGAAGACCGTATTTAGCAGCCAGTAAATACGCGGGTTTAAATTTCTTGGCGCGTGAGGTCCTGTCTTCACGATGCGATGTCACGAGTACGCCCGGTTTCCATACGCCCGTGAGTCGCGGGCGTATGGGAACCTCGCGATGCGAACGCCGCCGAAGGCTGGCAGGCTACACGTACACATGGGGATGAAGGAGAATGTGACGAACACGTCTTCGTTTTTTGGATTAACTCGAAGGGGGCGTGAGCTGTTGAGGCCGAAAAGAGGACCTCGGACGCGGGCACTGGCTTCGTCGTTGGCCACACTGCAAGAAATTTCTATCTCGATCGGGCTGTTGTACCCAAGTTAGCGGGTTGAAACCTAATCGAAGCCGTGGATTTTTAAGGGCAAAAATCCTTTGGTCTTTGTTCGGAGGGGAAGTAATGCTGGCGGCCCCACGTGGCAGATTTACTCCATGTAACATTTTCAACCCTAAAAGAACTCTCTGAGCTAATTCCAAATCGCCTGTTTTGTTGTCCGAGATGATACCTTATTTCTATGCTAATAGTGAAAGGAGCGTAGCGAAATTTGCGTGGTCAGAACGAAGAGCCTGATGGCTCGAATATCGCAACGTAAAATAAGGCATTAAGTATGTTGCTCTTATAGCCCTTTGCTCTGGATATAAATGAATCATTATTTGCATTTGTCTTGACCTTTTTTATTTTGGTACATTGAGAAGTAGTTTAGTGTGTGCAACAAAACTGCAAATGATTTTAACAAAACAATTATATATAATGCATTACTTTATATTATTATATATTTTTTAAACTTAGTATGCTTCTAATAAATAATGTACTTCAGCTTCGGGTCAATGACCCCCATCTCTATGAAGTTTAAGTCTAGTTTCCGTGATGCATTAAGCAAAGGCTAATCCCTGGTTTTGCTTCTGGACGTAAATGTAGCTTCACTATGCGCACGTTTTGTTGAACTCTCCTTTTGCTTGTAGTGGTAGAAATAGAGGTAAAGGTGAGTTACTGTTTTGTTAGCTATGCAGAAAAATCAAATCTGCAGTTCGTTTTACTGTTGTAAATAAAATTTTTATAACTTAGGAACAAAAATGTTGTTTTTCAAATATTGCTAATCTCGCGCTTTTTAAATTTTATTTAGCTTTAACTTATACTACTTTTATTATCTTTCTACTATTTATAATTCAAATGATGGGAAGGGATTCTGGAACTCCAGAATACGTTTGCAGATTATCTTCTCCCCATACAATTTTGACTAAATAAATGTAAATCTAAAAATCAATACGTAATTCGTTTGTTGAAGCAAATGCACTTTCTTACTCTAGAAGTGTCTGCAAGCCCATTTCATGGAGCACACACAGAAGAATGAGAATGTATCTTAACACTCCATGTTAAATGTGACAGTACACTCCTTCACGCATATCTTCCCTTTTTGTTGCTTGTATTAAAGGAATGAAGATAAAATCAATAGGATTTCAGACAAGTGGTGCGTGTCTCCTGATGTTCTCAAGATGTATAATGGTA